GGGTGGGGGCAGAAAGTGGAATTGAAAGCAGACAACAGAACATTGCTAGAGAGCAGGAAAGGAGGTGAAAGGAGACAATTTTAGAGAAGAAAATGTTTCGGTCGCTACCCGGATTCGAACCCAGGACCTTTGAATGAGAGGCCAACACCTTAACCTCTAGGCCACGAGAGCCCCCTGGACACATTTGGGCCATTCCATGACAAAATGACGCAAGTAACTCAGGGGATAATGACTTGCTGTAAGAAATATTTTAAGCTATGATAATAGGGCCATGATTGCTCTGAGTCGAAATCAAATTCACACATTGTGGTGGTTAGGCACCTCGCCGTCGCCGGCAGAAAACGTCAGTTCGAGTCGCGTGTGAGGGGGAACTTTACTGAGTATCTCCGTCTGTCTGCTAGGACGTGGAATTTTCGTTTGCTTTAGTAAGGTTTTAGGGCGCTTGTAACTGCATACGGTCATATAGCGACAAGGGGTGGATGTCATTAGAGAAGACCAAACGGGGAATCAGGCTTACTCTGCTCACCTCTCTAGCCTCAACAGCACAGTCTGCTTCGACTATCAAGGAATCCCGGGAGTAGCAGTTGACAAGAGATTGACAAACATACAAAAGATGTAGAGAGAAAATTACGATAGTAAGGATGAGGACATAAAAAACTGCAGTTCCCCAAATGTTGTCCCGGCACAGCATGAGCATGACATAGATAAATCAGCCCATTTACAATTCTACTGTGCATATTAATAAGAACATGTAAATATCCCTCCTTTGGGAATGGCCTAAAGATACACCCAGTCAGTAGCACTGCCCTGGGGGGGTTGGACGTGGTACAGCTCTCAGCCCGGAGTGGCCCTCACAGGCGAGGCCGAAGCTGACCACCTCCTTAGTTATCTCGATTAAGTGTCCATTGCGACGTAAAACATCTGCAGTTGATTTGGGTTTTTTTCTTTTGTTGTTTTAAAAAATGTTTTTCTGTCTTTATTTTGGTTATCAAAATCAGTCTGTCCACAACAGAAATTTCAGCCTTTCACTCACTTCGCAACACATCTGCAGTTATTATTTAATTTGCTAACAGTAACAACAGCAACAACGACGATGGCAACGACAGCAGCTGAAACGGTAACAACAGGAACAAATACAACCATAACAACAATAACAACAACAACATCAACAACGATAACGACGACGACGACGACGACAGCAACAACGGCGATGACAATTACAACATTTAGAAGTAAGAAAAGCTATAACAAAGACGGATTATCAATAATTTTCACGTACTGTTTGCTTGAACTGGGAGTTGGGATTTACTGTTTCAATACATTTGAAAAATATTATGTGAGCGCATTATCATTCAAGCATATCATTAAAATTTGTGACATAGAGTGGCCTTGTCCAGAATTCTTCTCCCCCCCCCCCCCCCCCACACACACACTCTGTGTCTTTTAGATTAGTTTAGTAAGGTTTTTACGGCTCTCGCAACTGCATAAGGTCGTATGAGCGCCAAGGGGAGGATGTCCAAACAGGGAATCAGGCTTACTCTGCTCACCTCTTAAGCCTCAACAGCACAAAGTCTGCTTCGACTATCAAGGCACCCCAGAAATAGCGTTTCACAAGAGAGTGACAAACATGCAAAAGCAGTAGAGGAAAAATAACGATAGTAAGGATGAGGAAAGAAAAAGCAGCAGTTCCCACTATATTGTTTGGGGACAGCATGACATGACATTGATAAGTCAGGCCATTCACAATCTACAGTGCATAAGATTT